CCCTTTTTTTTGAGACAGGGTTTCACTAAGTTGCTTAGGATCTTGCTCAGTTGCTGAGGCTAGCCTTGAACTTGAGATCCTCCTGTCTCAGCTTCCCCAGTTGCTGGGATCACAGGTGTGTACCATCACATCTGCTATGAAATAGCTCTTAAAGAGTTTTGAATAGATGACATAAGCAATTCTGTTGAGAATAGACTGAAGGGGATGGTGGATAAGGGTGGAAGCAGTAAAGGTGTCTTAAGAGGCTAATAATGCAGGTGAGAGATAATGTGGGTAGGACCACAGTGATAACTCTGGCATGGAAAAAAGTGGTCAGATTCTAGGTGACACCAACAGGATATTCCAACAAATTAGATGGAAAATGTAAGAAAAAGAGAGCCGCAGGGCTGGGATTGTAGTTTAGTGGTAAAGTGGTTGCCTAGCATGTGTGTGGCACTGGGTTCGATTCTCAGCACCATATATAAATAAATAAAATAAAGAGAGTCCCCTTTTTTCCCCCGTAAAAAAGTACCAGGGATTGAACCCAGAGTTACTTAACCACTGAGCTATATCCCCAGTCTTTTTTGTTTTTTTATTTTGAGACAGGGTCTCACTAAGTTGTTTAGGGCCTCAGTAAGTTGCTGAGGCTGGCTTTAAACTTGTGATCCTCCTGTCTTAGCTTCCTGAGCTGCTGGGATTACAGGTGTGCACCACTGTACCTGGCTCTTCATTCTTTTTAAAGTTGCCAATGACTGGTGGCATTATAGTTTTTTATTTCTGTTATATTACATGTGTACACACACACTCACATATGTTGGTCTCATTATTTGTTGATTTTATATTTGCATATTTGCCTACTTGCTAAAAGTTATTTATAAATTCAAAATCAATATTAGTAGTTTGTTTTTACAGTTATTTATAGATATGCAGAGTGATCAAAAAAAATTGAATTTGCCCAGTGCATACATTCCCAGCCTAAGGTGAATGAGGCAACACTCTGCATCTTTCAACTCTAATTCTGTAAGCAAGAGTCCTTTTCAATGTCTTTTTATTTAGTGCCATGCTTTCCACACTATTGTGCTTCACATTTCTGGTGAGTCAGCTGTTTAAAATGCACCCCCACCCCCACCCCCTCAAGCTGAGCATAGCAGTACATACTGATAATCCCAGCTATTCATAAGCTTGAATCAGGAGAATTGCAAGTTTGAGTCCAGCCTTGGCAACTTAGTGAGACCCTGTCTCAAAATAAAAAAGAAAGGGGGGATGAGTTGTGGTATAGTGGTTAAGCACCCTTGGGATCAATCCCCAGTACCAAAAAAAGCACCCCCATCCCTCAGGGGTAGTGCTGGGTGCTTCTGTGACTTGCCTTACAGGGAAAATATGTGTTAGATAAGCTTCATTTAGGCATGATTTATGTAGTGTAGTCAGCCATGAGTTCAATGTTAATGAATACATTTATTTCTGTGTGTGTATGTGCCATGCTGAGGATTAAACCCAGGGCCTTATGCTTGTTAAACATGCTTTCTACCACTGAGCTATACCTTCAGCTCCAGTAGTATATTTTAAATAAGATGTCTTTATAAACATACTCAAATATGACAAAGCTACATGTTGATCCATTGACAAACAGGTTGTGTCAGTGGCTTGCACAAACAACCACTTATTTTCTCTCTATTTCATTATTTGCTAATTCAGTGTTTGGAGCAACTTGAAAGAATATAACTACCATGAATAGTGAGAAGCATGCAATGGGTGGCATACTCCTGTAATCCCAGTGATTTAGGAGGTTAGGTCAGGAGTATCACAAGTTCAAGATGAGCCTCAGCAATTTAGTGAGGCCCTTAGCAACTTAGCAAGACTCTTAACTCAAGTTAAAAAATTAAAAAGGCTAAGGATGTGACTCGGTGATAAAGTTTCCTGGGTTCAGTCCCCCAGTACTTAAAAAAAAGGTAAAAAAGCAACTGTTTTTCTCTATGTATCCTATCATTATGTATACTTAAATCTTTAATTAATTAATCATAGTGTAAGACATGAGGTATTAATAAATTTTCCTATATGGCTCAGATTGGAGATACTATTATATATTAAATTCTCAAATATTTGACTCTATTTCTGGATTTTCTATTCTATTACATTTATCCTTTTAGTTTTATTACCACTCTATTAATTATTGAAGTTTTATGATATATTTTAATATCAGAATATGGACCGATTTGTCCAGATGGCAGATAAAAGCAGAAAATCCAGTCATTTTAAGAGTCAGAATTAGGGGCTGGGGATGTGGCTCAAGCGGTAGCATGCTCGCCTGGTATGCGCACG